CAGCCGCCACTGGCTGCCTCGGTGGGGGCTTCTGCTGGCCCTGCTTCCTTGTCGTCACCCGGCACAGAAACCTCATAGACCTCTTGCTCCTCCTCCTCCACCTTCTCAAACTTGACCTTGGGCACCAGCCGCACAGGTGGCCGCGTCTTCCGCCGGGTGTGCTTCTCGAAGGCTGCCTCCACCTCCAGCACCTCCTCCTCTGCCGGCTCCTCCAAGGCCCTCCCGTTGCAGGCCAGCTGGTAGACCTCGGGGCCTGGTGGCCCGGGCTCTCCCATGGCTGCTCCAGAAAGCTCGGGCCCCAGGTCCGGGTAGAAGGCCTCAGCGCTTATGGTAGCTCCAAAGAGCTCATTTTCGGAGACCAGGCCAAGCACGGCAGCCTGAGCCAAGGACAGCACCACCACAGCGTCCGTCTGTGTCCCTGAGTCCATGAAGCCCTCCATCCCGCGACGGCTAGCTAGGAGGGCATCGCTGTGGGTGGAGAAGGGAAAGTTAATATTGCTGGCTCACTGCTGCATGGACAGACAACAGACATAGCACGGACTAGAGCTTGGCTGATTTTGGGTGTGTCTGACCCTGATGTCTTTTCTACTCCTGCCTTGGGAACAGTGCACACTTGTAATTACAGGGAGCAATGATTCCCGCTGTGTATCTGACCATCTCCTCCAGCTCCCTGGGGGATCCTGGGTAAGCTCTGCCCCCTTGCTGGCCTCAGTCTTCCCATCTGTACAACAGGGAGGTGGGATTTCCTCAGTGGTTCTCAAATTGTGTTCTACAGGTCCTTCAAGAATTCCTTAAAAAGGCCGGGCATGGTGGCTCACATCTGTAATCTCAGCACTTTGGGAGGCTGAGGTGGGCGGATCACCGGAGGTCAGGAGTTCGAGACCAGCCTGGCCAACATGGTGAAATCCCGTCTCTACTAAAACTACAAAATTAGCTGGGCATGGTGGCGGGCGCCTGTAATCCCAGCTATAGGAGGCTGAGGCAGGAGAATCGTGTGAACCTGGGAGGTGGAGGTTGCAAGTCAGCCGAGATTGCACCACTGCACTCCAACCTGGGCAGGAAAGTAAGACTCTTTGTCTCAAAAGAAAAAAAAAAAAATCCTTAAAAATTGTATTCAAAAATGTAAAAAATAAAGATTCTACTATTTAAAAACTGATTTTAAAAGGCCCACCTACTCAAATGTAGTATGCGCCACATTCTAACACATTCAGTAGCCCCACTGGCTTTGTTGCCAAAGTAATTAATTTGCACAGACCTTGGGACTGTGCGGTGAGGTGTTAACTGTCATTATTTGTAATGACTCGGCTGTATGAATGAGAATGTATGACAAAAAGACACAACATAAAAAAATAAATTAGGTGCTGAGGCTGATCTCAAACACTGGCTATCACTTGTCAGCCCCGATGCTAAACATATGCATCTATCACAACTGGTTGTTGTTTTTCTTCATTAACTAAATGTTATACATTTAAATATCTAAATTTATACTGATCAAAATATCACTTTTATCTGATTTATACATTGGAGTTTCATGTCAGATCTGATTTGAAAGAAGGGCTCCTTGACAGCTAACATGTTTGAGACCACTATCTGAATTGAATGCTCAAACAGGCTCCCAGGTTCACATTCATAGTCTCTCATCTAACAGGTTTTTTTTTTTTTCCTTTTTGATTAGAGATAGGGTCTTGCTCTGTTGCCCAGGCTACTGTGACACAATCATGGCTCACTGCAGCCTCAACCTCCAGCACTGAAATGATCCTCCTGCCTCAGCCCCTCGAAATGCTAGGATTACAGACATGAGCCACTGTACCTGCCCCTAACATGATCTTCTGAATAGTGCCAATGTGCCCACCTGCCCAAGTACAAACCCCCAGCACAGCAGCCTCTTCCCTCGCTGGGGGCTCCAGCCACATATGGAGGCACCTGCTCCGTGAGCCCTCTGTGGAGCCCGGTCTTTGCACCCATGGGTCTTCCCACCTGGGGCAGCCTTTTCCCAACCCCATTGACCCCTGCTCCTCCCACCAGCCTCCAAGGCATGGCTCGAGGTCCACCTGCTCCTGAGGCCTTCCTGGCTCTCCCGGCCTGCCCTCGTGCCCTCTCCAGGCTTCCAAGGACTGCAGCACGCCAGGCAGTGTGCCCACAGGGGGTGGCGGCCTCCTCCTGGGTCTATACCCCTTGCCCTGGTTCAACACCTGGCACATCAGAGGAGGGGGGATGGCATTACTGGGGTGACTGTCGCCTGCTCTGCTCTCAGGGCTCCCAACCGACCAACTACCAGCTTCTCCCAGGGCTAACGGTCAGGCACACGGTCAGCAGCCCTTCCTTAGGAAACCGGCTCCGGGCAAGGCGTCCCCCTCCCCCCAGCGCCCAGTGGAGCTTCCCTTTCCTGAGGACGGCTAAAAATACCCCAGACAGGAATTTAGCCTTCTTGAAACGGACACCAAAGATTAAACTATTAAGCTTAGAGTGAGGCTCTCGTGGAAGGGATCAGATAGAAGGAAACCTTGGCCTAGGGGTCAGGGTGCATCTGAAATAGGCTGGAGGGGCTAACCCTGCTTCCAAACCACCACACCCCACCCCAATGTCCAGCTGCTGGGAAATGCAGTCAGTGAGGACCTGGAGTCCCAGCTCAGTCACTTGAAAGTGACTAAGCAAAGTCACAGCAGTGGCTCAGTTTCCCCATCTGAAAAACAGGGATGAAAACACTCACCCATGGAAAGGTTGTGAGAGCCCAGGGTCCTAACACAAGTGAAGCAGCTTGGTTCATTATAAAGCCCTAACCAACTGTAAAGAATCACTATTGGCCGGAGCATGGTGGCTCACACCTGTAATCCCAGCACTTTGGGAGACTGAGGTGGACGGATCACTTGAGGTCAGGAGTTCGAGACCAGCCTGGCCAATATGGTGAAACCCCATCTCTACTAAAAATACAAAAATTAGCCGGGCGTGGTGGCAAGTGCCTATAATCCCAGCTGCTTGGGAGTCTGAGGCAGGAGAATCACTTGAACCCAGGAGGCGGAGGTTGGAGCGAGCAGAGATCACGCCATTGCATTCCAGCCTGGGCGTCACAGCAAGACTCTGTCTCAAAGGAAAAAAACCAAACAAACAAAAAAAAACCATTATTATCTGCCCAGATCTCTGGGAGAAGCCTTTTCTGAAAAAAGTCACAGAGCCAAGAGATGTTTCCATTCTTGGGCCCCAAATTCAGCAAAGCTTAAGTGATTCTGAGGACAACCGCTAGAGACTGATAACTCATTCATTCATTTATACAATAAATAGCTGCTAAATCCCTGCTATGGGTTAGGGCTTGTGCTTGGAGACAGCAAGGTGAATGAGGTAGGGTCCTGCCCCTCGGGGCCCACCACAGCCACCCCCCAGTGCCCTCCAGCCACTGTCAGGTTTGTAGAGCACGCTGAGGAATGTGGCTGCCTCCTGTCACTGCGGTCTGTCTGGCACAGCACCCAGCGGCAACCCTCCTGTCTGTTGTGGGGTTTGGGCAAATGATGTGTTCAGCAGTTTTTGTAAACTTCCCCAAAGGCAGGACCAGCAAGGAGGAACTGAGCATCAATGGCCAAGCCAGTGCTTCCCCCTTGGCCCTGGATGCTGAGTTCAATCTAGGCCCTGCTGTCTACTAGCCGTGTGACATCAGGTGATTCTCATCTCTATGGGGGGGAAAAGGCTCCTGACTCATGGGACAGTGAGATGAGAATGGCAGTGTCATTAGTTCCCTTTCCTCTCCTTTCCCCTGCAGCCTAATACCAGGCATCAGCCCCCTCCTGCCAACCTCAAGGGCACGGGCACAAGGAAACAGTTAACACTGCTTTAGAGGCGAGGAGAGGGCGAAAACGTCAGCCAACGAACTGCCCATGGGAGCTGAAGTGTGGTTCCCTACAGCAAGGGTAACCATGGAACTGACCGTCCACACTGGGACCCCTTCTACAAGGAGCCATTCCTTATAGTCACACCAGGACACCAGAAGCAAACCCCTTCCCATATGAACAGGTAGTTTGGACTTGAGAAGGTGCGTCTGTCTCAGGAGCCTGTGCTTGGCTGTAGAAAGGGACTAACCCAGAGTCCTTGCTCTTGAGGGTTTGTGCCTACGTGGGGGCAGGAGAGCGGCACAGAGAGCTGCCAACAACTGACGACGAACACCACGGAAGAGCTACAGCTTCTCATTACAGAGACTCACCAGGTCCCCAGTGAGTCATTTAATACTAGAAACAACCCGGGGGGCAGGGGTAGGGTAGTGCGCTCCCCACCTCATGCCCCAGGAAACCCAGGCTTGAGTAACATACTCCCGAGTGCCTCATCAATGAAGGGAGAGCTGGGTCTGCAGCCAGGCCCGTCTAGCCCCATAGCAGGTCCCATCTGTGCTCCTGCAGCTATGCACCTGCGGAGGTCACATCTGAGCCCAGCTCCTCAGTTCTCAGGAGCTGTCCTGGGTCACTACAGGCCAGCAGGGGCACATAGGCAAGACCTGGGCAAACTGCAACATGAAGCCTCGGGCTCCTTCCTGGCTGGCTGGTCCAGGGCCTCAGCCGGTTGGGGGAACTGGGGTCTCTCCTTCTACTAGAAGTCTTCATTGAGCCACCGCCCACCTGGGCAGTTGGCCCCATGCTTTCTTTTACACTGGCCTGGACACTTGGTTGAGTAGAACACCCACCACCCTGTAATGCTCACTTTGTGGGGCTTATGGGGGCAGGCCCTGTGTCCATGTTGTCTTGTTCACTGGGGACGCCAGGCAGGCTCTGTGTGCGTGCGTGCGTGCGTGTATGCAGAAGGGGCTCTGCTGAGGAGGGAATCTAATTTACCTGTGTTTCGCATGTGTGTTCTGCCTGCCTATCACACACGGAAATGAGGAGTGGGGAGCCCCGGTATCGCTCTGTTCTTCCTCCTCCTGGGCCAGCATTGTGGCTCGTGTCTCCTCACCCGCTCTGGTTCCATCTCCCGGGCTAAACCCTTCTGTTTATGTCCTGGCACAGGGCCATCCACGGCAGGAAGAGAGCCTGCCAGGTGTGTGTCACCTGTGTGCCAGGGCTGCCTCCCCACCCACCCCAAGGCCCCTCTGTCATCTGCCTGGGGCCCTACTGTGGCCCCTCCCTTCTTAGAGCAGGGCCTCTTCCACCACTTGTGCTGAGGACTCAGAACAAAAGCTCCCCCCAGGTCCAGGAGAAAGGGGAGCTCAGACTGCCCCAGGCTGGCGAGATGAGGGGCGTCCACTGGCTGGGATGTGGCGTGGCCTCCCACCAGGATGGCCTTGGTCCCCAGGGTGGGGAGAAAGTCAATGTGAAAGGCGGGGAAATAGAGACGCAGATGAGCTGCCTGATTGTAGTTGTGCTGGGAGTGGGGGAAGGGAGGCCATATCAGAGAGAGAGAGAGAAAGGGAGAGGGAGAGAAGAAATGAAGAGACAGGGAAGGGGGAGCAGAGGAGGAGCCTGAGTGAGGGGGAGGGAGAGAGAATGAGGCTG